ATTTGGAATTTGAGAAAGGTGATCGGATGTTCCTTAAAGTCACTCTGTTCAAGAGAATCAGTAGGTTTGACAAGAGGGGGAAACTAAATCCCCAGTCTATTAGGCCATTTGAAATCTTAGACAGAATTGACACCGCCGCCTACAGACTAGCACTACCTCTAGAACTTTTCATAGTCCATAATGTGTTTCATGTGTCTATACTACGCAAGTACAATCCGGACCCTTCTAACATTTTGGCGCATAAGCATCTTTCATTCCAGGAGGATCTGTCCTACGAGGAGGTACCGGTCGGTATTGTGGACCGAAAAAACAGAGTACTCCACAACCATAAAATTTCATTCGTTAAGGTCCTATAGCAAAATCACACATAGAGAGAGGCCACGTGAGAGCTAAAATCAGACTTCAGAGTCCAGTATCCCCAACTATTTGATTGAGTGAGAGAGAGACGAATTTGAGAGATTAAATTTCTTTTAAGGGAGAGAGTTGTAATACCTGAAATTAATTTTAAAATATTTAAAATTAATGTATAAAATATAATTTTTAAATTTATGAATTTTTATTTAATGTAAAACATTAAGAAAAATAGGTGGATGATGAAATTAAAAATAATTTTAGGAAAAATGGGTGAAAATTTGAATTCCTGGGGTATTTTTGAAAGAAAAATAAAAAACTGGAGGTCGAAACGCAATTTAAAAAAAATATACCACGTAGGACCGCCCAGTCAACAGCACTGACGAATTAGAGCACACCGCGTGGCAAGGCATGCTGATGCGATGCCACGCGGGAGGCCACGCTAGCAATCCGCATGCCCGCGATTGGACGGTCCGGATTTGTTCCCGCGTGTGTGGACGGTCCATATTCGTTTCCTTCTCAGGTGCAATCGGACGGTCGTGATTAAATGCGATGAACGGTTTAGATTTATTCCATCTTTAAACGCAATCGTACGGTCCAGATCAAATCGCAATAAACGATTCAGATTTATTTCCTATTTAAACGAGAAACGGTCCAAATCAAATGCGATGTACGCACCAAATTCATTCACTTCACACCAAATCCTAACTCTAGTCGCCAGCCCGCCCCTCCCCCGCCGGAGAAGAAAAACCAGTCGTTGGGAAGGGAGCCGACCGCCACCCACGGCCACGCCGGAGCCACCTCCGACCGCCAAAAAAGGTAAAAAATTCTTTTAGTCGCTCGAAATTTAATTTTGAACACCCCACTGGCCAAATTGAAGCAAAAGGACTGGTAGATGAGCTAAAAATTGTGGGTAAAGCCCGGTGGCGCCACCGCGGGAAAAATCGAAAACTGCCTCCATTAAGGCACTTCCCGATTCTCGTTTCGTACATTTTTTTACCATTGTATTCACCATTTTGTTTTCCATTGATTGACAAAAAAAAAATTCTCAACTGCGAAAGTGAGTCGGTGGAGCCGCCGCATCGAAAAATCTCCTCGTCGGTAAGCTTTTGTTTTTTGATTTTTTTGGGCTAACTGAGACCCTTTAATGTATTTTCCTCAGGGATGAGTACAGAACCGACTGAAATCGGCCGAAACTGGCTAAAAATGGCTAGCCCGAGGTAAATCACTACCATGGACGGCGGTGTTGTCACCAGA